AAAGTTTGCCCATGGGGACCCCAAAAGCTGTGCTGTGGCCGACTGGCCTTCCACCGCAGCAGTAAACAGGCCCTGGCGGTCCAGCCCCAGGGACTCCTGAACCCTGAGCTGTGTCTGACGTGCACATGGAACGGACTTTGCTGGGACATCAACTGCGCTGCACACCGGCAGGTTCCCGCAGCACAGGGGAACCAAAGCTCCCAGGGTGCCTCCTGACTTCACTCCTCTTCGGACAGCTCTGCCGAGAACTCCCGGAGGTCAGCCCCCCCCCCCCCCCAGGCCTCGCGTCTCTTTCAAGCCCAGCTCCAGCCGGCCAGGGGCTCCCTACCTTCCGCTAAGGCGTTTCAGTGTCATCACTGTTAATTTAGTTTTAATAAATAGACAACATTACCATAGCTGGACTCTTATCAGAAATAGTGATCATCTCATTGAAAATAGCCTCTCAGTTGACTTCATGAAGATGCGGTTAATTCTTTTTTTATTTTTTTTTGGTACCGGGGATCGAACTCTGGTCCTTGTGCTTGCGAGGCAGGCGGTGGAACCAGTGAGCTAAATCCCCAGCCCAGGATGTGATTGATTCTACTCTTGATCTTAGCCAAAAGACCGAGAAGCGATTGGTTAATTCTATAAAAACATTCTGTGTTCCCTGAGGGCCTTAATTGTGTGGGAGTTAAGGACTGAGTCCCCCCTGGGCCATTTAGGGAGACCACCTAAAAAGGAGGTGCGGGGGCGGGGTAACACACACACACACACACACACACACACACGCACACATGTGCAGGAACCAGAAAATATTTGTCCGAGGCCCTTTCTCTGGATGTGCATGAGCCCATTGCATAAGCCCACTAAATGCAATCCCCGGCTTTATCCCTAATAGGTAATTAAGTGTAGCATCTACATCTAATGTTAGGCATTACCTGTGGAACTGAGCGCAGAAGCTATGCTGCAGCGTGTGGAGTGCATATTGTTCAATTCCGAGAAACTAAGTGAAGGAAGACCTGCGTGGAGGAGGCCAGGTCTGAAGAGGGCCAGATTTAAAACATGGATTTGCCCACAAAGGCCTGTCCCAATTTGCAGGAAACCTATCGAACAACGCCTGTCCTTACTGCTGCTGTGTTTTGACAGCGTCTCTCTGTGTTGCCCAGGCCGCCTGCGGCTCCGGGATCGAGAGACTTCTTGCCTTAGCCTCGGAGTAGCTGGGGACTTCACTGAAGTACGAGCCACGGCGCCTGGCTTTTACGTCTTTTCATATATTCATTTTACATTTGCACTTGCATTTACTACCCTATTTTAGCTACTGATGTAAAATTTATCTTTCTCCAAGAAAAGAACCAACTACTTCAGGTTCAAGAGCACCTCTTTTAGGAATAACCAGGAAAAAAGAGCCTGAACTAGGAAGCCGGCGAAAGCAAGACACCGCCACCAGGTGGCACTGCTTTCTTTAGTGGGCCTGGAAGGAACGCCAGCGCCGGGCGAGCTCGCTGGGAGCGCGGAGGGGTTGTGGGGTTCAGGAAAGGTGGCTGCTTCCCCGCGCGCTGGGGTGGCCTGTGTCTAGGGTGCCCGGGGGTGTAGAAGTGGTGTCGGGTCCGCCACTCCCCCCTGGGTTGCTATCTTAGCTAGGGCGTCTTGCCCACTCCTTCGTTTGGACCCATCAGCTGCGTGGGGAGCCTCAAGCTCCGGGGCCACCTGAGCGCCAGGACCCCCGAGACCGGGAACGAGAGCGAGCGTGCATTCCCTGAAACGTCTTGGGCCGGCAGGCTCAGGACGGACGTGTGGGTTAGAGGCCGCCTGCCGCCGCGCCAACGCTGCGTGCTGAGCGCGGAATGCAGTTCCCAAGACGAGGCCGAGGCTGGAGATCATTCCTGCGACGCGTGCCCCCGGGCCGTTTCCTCCATGTGTCCCCGAAGCGGAGGCTCCGGGGCTGGGGTCTCGCGGCCCGGGGGAGCCCCGCCCCCCCGGGTTCTCGCTCCTCTCTGGCAACAGGAGGCGCCTGGGACGCGCGCGCTGGGGCCAAGTTCTGGTTTTGATTTCGCTCCCAGCACGGAGGAAGAAGGACACTCCAAACCCCACAAACAGGAAGGAGGGAAGGCCCCCGAGTGCGGGCAGAGGGAGGGTCATTCCCAGCAGCGGGTCGGGTCGGGCCGGGCCAGCGGGGGCGGGCAGCTCCGCGCTCCCTCTCCTCGTGCCGGCGGGGGGTGATCCCGGGCCGCGGAGGGGCTCGAGGGAGAGCAGGGACGGGGTGCGCCCGGGGAAGGGGCGGGGTGCCTCGGGGCGGGGGCGGAGGCTCCCGGGGCGCTGCCGCCCCCCGCCCCCGGGGCGCCCCCGCGGTGCCGGAGCCGGGGCGGGGCGTGCGCGTCAGCCCGGGCTAGAAAAGGCGGCGGGGCCCGGCCCGGCGAGGTGACAGCAGCATTTGGACCCAGCCCGGCCCGACGCCATGAGCGCCGCGCTCTTCAGCCTGGACGGCCCCGCGCGCGGCGCGCCCTGGTCCGCAGAGCCCGCACCCTTTTACGAGCCAGGCCGGGCGGGCAAGCTGGGCCGGGGAGTCGAGCCGGGAGCCCTGGGGGAGCCGGGCGCCCCCACCCCTGCCATGTACGACGACGAGAGCGCCATTGACTTCAGCGCCTACATTGACTCCATTGCCGCCGTGCCCACCCTGGAGTTGTGCCACGACGAGCTCTTCGCCGACCTCTTCAACAGCAACCACAAGGCGGGCGGCGCGGGCAGCGCGGGCGGCCTGGAGCTTCTATCCGGCGGCCCCGCGCGACACCCCGGCCCCGCCGTCCCGCGCCTGCTCAAGCGCGAGCCAGATTGGGGCGACAGGGACGCTCCCGGCTCGCTGCTGCCCGCGCAGGTGGCCGCGTGCGCGCAGACCGTGGTGAGCCTGGCGGCCGCCTCTCAACCCACACCGCCCACGTCTCCGGAGCCACCGCGGAGCAGCCCGGGGCCGAGCCCCGCGCCCGGCCCTGCGCGAGAGAAGAGCGCCGGCAAGAGGGGCCCGGACCGCGGCAGCCCTGAGTACAGGCAGCGGCGGGAGCGCAACAACATCGCGGTTCGCAAGAGTCGCGACAAGGCCAAGCGGCGCAACCAGGAGATGCAGCAGAAGCTGGTGGAGCTGTCGGCCGAGAACGAAAAGCTGCACCAGCGCGTGGAGCAGCTCACGAGGGACCTGGCTGGCCTTCGGCAGTTCTTCAAACAGCTGCCTAGCCCGCCCTTCCTGCCCCCCGCCGGCGCCGCCGACTGCCGGTAACGAGTGGCCCGGGCCGGGAGAGACTCTCACCAACGACCGACCGATACCTCAGCCCCGACGGCCCGGGAACCGCGAGAGCCGCCCGGCGCCGGCTGCAATTTCTTTGGGACGAGTGAGCGAAAGGAAGCTACAGGCTGGACTTAACCGCCACTGAACCGCGAGAGAAGCTATACGTGTTTATTTTCCCTTAAATTATTTTTATAATGGTAGCTTTTTCTACATCTTACTCCTATTGATGCAGCTAAGGTACATTTGTAAAAAGAAAATGACTTTCAAGACAAACTTTGTATTGTAGATAAAGGTTTTTAAAAGACTGAGCATGCTCACTTTTTTACATGAATTTTTACAGTATTTGTAAGAATAAAGCATTTAAAATCACCCCTGCTTCCTGCATTCGCAGTGACTCGTACACCGGCGCGCCAAGGACCCTGCCTGGGAAGGGCGCGCTCCAGGACCTGGTGGGCAGCGAGCACCTGGAACCACCGCACCAGGTGTGTGCCCCGGTGGGGGAGCTGACTTCCAGGAGGCGAAGGTCTGCTTGCTCTTGAAGCATGCCAGTCACCACCTCCACATACTCTGTTGGGCTTGGCGTAGGTCGGTGAAGGCTGACTAGGCACACTTACTTTCGCAGCGGAAGGAAGGTGCTCCCCACAAAGAATCCCGATTCAGTTGGGCAGCTGGTGGATTTGGGGACCCTGCTCAGAACACCCCAAGAACTCCCTAACCTTAGATGACTGCTTGAGGGGTAAGAGGGTAGAGGAAGGGCTCAAGTGATCCAGAATCCTGTCTTAATCATGTCGGGCTTTCAGAAGACTCTGCTTTCACTTTTCTGCCTCGCTGACATGGAATAGCTTTTCTTTCCCAGTGTAGGGACAAAATTGTCCTATAGTAGATGAAAAGGACAATTCCAAAGCTACTTAAAACTGCCTATCTTGTTAGCAGTAGTGTTTCCAGGCTTAATCCAAACAAAGCCATGTGCCTTAACAAAATGGGGTAAAGGCACCTTTTCTTGGTCTTGGCAGCTAAGTGTATATCATGCAATTAATTAACCATAGCTGTCATGTTGCTATAAGGAAGAAAACAAAACTCTGTGTTCAAAGATAATTTATTTGTAATTTAAATCTGTGCCAGCAAAGCAAATGATAACTGACTGCTCTAAGTCTGTGTAATCTTTGCTCTGTGTGCACTATCAGGAATGATGAAACAGGCATGTGGTAGAAGCGAGCTAATTTTGAACATTTTATGGGTAACAGTTTCACCTCTGATGTAGTTCTCCAGAGCATTTTCTCAAAAATACTGAAATGTAAAATGCTTAGGTTGGACATTTATTTATTGTAGCATACCACAATATGGGACAGAGATTTAAGTTTTTCAGAGTATTCTTGGCGGCAGTGGCAGTGCGGGGGTGTGGGGTGGTAAAACAAATACTATAAGGAAAAGAATCATGATAAAAAAAAGTAAATACTTTAAAGCGACAACTGCACAACATAATTCTTTCTGATAGATTGATATTACTGCCTAAAATAAATACAAAATGAAGACCCTGGGCTGAGTTGACCTTTAGAAACATGTTCCTAAATTTATAGGAAGGTAATGAAAAAGTAGGAAAGATATTTTAATTTAGAATCTACAAAACCATTTAAATTTGCCCCAGGAAAGTTCACACTTTTATTTTAAGATCATAAGATCCACGTGCTCTGTCCATAGTTAACAAATAACTACCCCAACAACCCCCACCCCGCCCTTGCAAAGTTCACCGGTCCCGGGGCCAGGGCAGGCGCCGCTCCACAGTTCCTCCAGGCAGAAGCTCAATTTCCTCCAGTCCGATGCAGCTGGTTGGGCGGGTGGTTATGGACTGGACAAAACAACTTAACAACCCCACCTCCTTTCCGAGGACACTCTTCACTTCATAACTCTGCAGGATAAAGGCATGCTGGTTAAAGCAAATAAAGTTAGCCCTGGACATTCTGTTCTCAACAAAACAGGACCGGCCAGAGCAGAGGCCCTTTCCCTGGACCTTGACCTTCCCTGCTCAAATAGTGAGATTTTTAGGGAGGAAATAAAGTGCTGCCTATAAAAGCCCCCTTTACTAGGGCAAATGAAGGAAATATTTTATCTTATTTTTACACAAGCATCACGTAAAATCTCAGTGTTTTAGTGGATGCCACGATGAGCTGGTATAGGAGAGGACCTGGGGGACAAGACATGCAAAGCATTTGCCTGTGTTCCAGATCCTTGGCAGGCTGAGGCTGGCTGTGTAGCTCACAGCTGTCTCCCACTTCCTTTCGGATACTTCTCCAATCTAGCAATACTTCCGGTCAAAGGATTTCCTGGTACTTTGCCCCAAACTTCCCTCTTCAACAGGATCCCATTTGTTCTTAAATTAGTCGGGGCTAAATGCCTCTTTCTGTGTTGCAGTAATTAGACTAAACTTGTTCTTAATCTTGGGCAAGTCACATCTCTACATGAGAACACAGGCACTGCGTGACTGGGGTTCCCACTCCTGACAAGGCTGTACTCTGACTTGGCCTCTGCACATCAAACTGTAGAGCGTTTGTGCTGGAGGTGGGGTCTGACAGTAAAAGCTCAAACTTTGGGATAAATGGTTTCTCTGGCCTCCTGGGAGACTGAAGCTCCAGATGGTAATGGCACCCTGGTCTCTCTGGGTGGGACACCACATGGATCTCCACAACATCCTGCTTGGCATGTATTCACAGTCCTCCTTTCTGTCATTAATGTGTCATATCCAAGGACACTGAGCTGGAGAGGCCAGATGATGTGGCCAAAGCAGGCACAGTCTGTGACTCCTGGTGCCCTTCCCATCAAAGGGGCCTCAGTGTTTAACTCCTGTAGAACAGAGTGCAGCAGAAGAGATGCAAATAATGTCCCATGCTTGGTTAGGAAAGATGCAGGCTTCTGTGTGGCTCTCAGCAGCCGGACATGGGCCATGAGGGAGTCCAGTCAGAGCCCTGGCTGGGGACTGAACAGGGTTTCTGTGAGCCCAGCCCCCCCTCATGGGCACCAACTGATGCCCAATGGAGCAGAGATGGGCTGTCCTGCTGGAGTCCTGCCTGCACTGCATTTATTCTGTATGCAGAATAAATGTCAAAACCACTAAGTTTTGAGATGATTTGTTTTGTAGCAATAAACATCAGGGATCAGTCCATATGTGAACCTGACTCTGATGCCAACTCACTGTGATACTTTCATTTTCCCACCTGGTATACAGACATGTTATGAAATACCTAGCCTACTTTAATGTGATTTGTAAAGATTTTTGGCTTCTTTGGTTAAAAAAGAGAGAGAGAATAAGCTCTCCTAAGGGTGGCTTAATGGAGAAAAGGGAGAGTGAGAGTTGCTGGTGAGGGCAGGAAGAGAAGGAAGCTGACAGCAGAGGTGAGGCCTCCCTGCATGCTCATGTGTGGCCAGGATGGCGAGTCCATGGCCGCTCGTTCATCCACGATGCCACTCTAGAGGGAGGGTACTGTTCTGTAAGATAAGGAGGTCACCCTTCACTGCCGGGAGGATATAGGAAAGCTAGGTAATTCTTTGGTGTCTCTTACTCTTTTAGTTAGCCTTGTATGTTGTGTGAGCATGAAGGTATGACCTAGGCACTCTTATGCTACTCTAAGGTAAAAGTACAGAACTCTGACTTCAAAAACAGTCATCAAAAAAATAATTTCCAAGCCAGGTATGGCGGCACATTCTTGTGGGAGGCTGAGGCAGAAGGATTCCAAGTTCAAGCCCATCCTGGGCAACTTAGTAACTTAAGTGAGACTCTGTTTCAAAATTTAAAAATAAACAGGCTAGAAGTGTAACCTAGTGAGAAGGTTCTAGTTTTAATTCCCAGTATTGGGGGAAAAAAAATCTACTTACAGTGTAAGTATCTCCTATAAATGGAGTTTAAATTATACATCTTTTATATCTGGGGAAAATTAAGATGGTGAGGTTATGCAACCATGCCAGCAAGCTCATATGCACTATTCTTGTGAATGTATATGTGCATATATATGAAATGTGTCTCTAGGGCCGGGGTTTTAGCTCAGTGGTGCCGCTGCCTGCCTCGCAAGTGCAAGGTCCCGAGTTTGATCCCTGGTACCGAAAAAAAAAAAAAGTGTCTCTATCTTAAAAAGACACAATATATACAGTCCCTTAATATTTTTTTTCTGAAAGTTAAGGGAGCAAACTCTAAATTCCATATCACTATCATATTACCATTGAGAAATAATATGATAGCCAATCCTTTTATTTTTGAATCTGCAGCTTGACCACCTAACAGTGAAGGCATAAAACTGACGCTCACATACTCTAACCAGAAATAGTATGTTTGCTCCAGGGAACGGTTCTTGTGGAAAGCCCTAATTTGATTCTTTTGGATTTTGGTAAATGTGCATTCTCACCCCTCAAGACCGACAGAGTCCAGACTGGTAACTTGCTATTTATGTCTACATGCAAGCCTTTGATGGCCATCTCCTCTCAGCTCCTTTCTAAGTCAGATGCAAAGGCCTGATTAGCCATGGCAGGTAAAGCTGGGGGAGAGTAAGCACTTCCTAAAACGTGCACTTCTAGGTTTGGAATGTGCCCTTGATCCACTGGGCTGGGCTCTGAGACCAGAGCACCCACAAAGATCACACCTGGTGCTGTGACACACAACACATGCCCCTCACAGAACACATACACGTATGCACACGTACACACACATGAGCATGTGTGTGCATGCACAGAGACACGTACATGTGTACTCACATATACACAATACATGCACTTGCTCTTGAGCTCTTTATAAGCAGGGCTTTACCTATGGTAACATTCTAGTTGAGAAGGTAAATGTGTGGGAGAAATAAGGCATCTCAGCCAGTGGGAAACCAAGGGGAGGTAGGAGGATCTCTGCCAGGGCTTCTTGGTCTTCAGGTCTCTAAAAGAAGGTTGGGATCAGCAGGCGATGCTAAGCACTGTCCATCACTGGGGGCTTCGTGGAGGAAGCACCAGGCTGCCTTCCTGGGAGCCTGCAAGGACCAGAGGGTCAGCAGCCTGCAGTGCCCAGCTTTCACCCAGAGACTATGCAGCTAGATCAGTAGGTGAGCCGTGTGCCACGCCCAGGGATTCTTGGTTTTAGTTTGTTTAGGTGTGAGTTTGGATTCATTATGAGTTCTCAAGAGTGTTTCTAGTGCTTTCCCTCAACATTCTCCACAGAGGTCTGTTCCCTGAAGTCCCTGATCTACTATCTGTACTGTACCACTTGCCCACCCCCGTCACCCTCCTTAGAAACCTCCAACCTATCAACCTTGGGTGGCCAAAAGGCAGGAGATAAGGAATCAGCCAACAGGCACAGCTGCCTCATCACCTATTCAACATGGAAGCTTCTGTAAGTCCCTGTCATGTGTTCCCATCTGGGCTGGCTACCAACTCTGCCAGCTGGTCACATCTGTGGGGTTAACAATGACTCTGCCTTTGTGAGATGTTCTTGTGGTGAACCTTGCACTCCCTAACTGCAGAAGGTGGATCTTGCCCCACTGGGGTGGTGGGGAGCCTGAACAGGGACACACATGAGAAGAGTGGTGAGCTTGGTGCTTAGCGCATGGTGATTGCTGACTTTTGCACAATCAGGAAGCACTTGCGTATGTGCCCTCCTATTGCCTGGTCTGAGCATCAATCCCTATTTATGCAGTGGCAGCAGTAGCTCAGATGAAGGCTCCAAGCTGGAGCTCAGGGTTGCCAAGGAGCTTTAAAGCCAGTGGGCTTAATCCCATGAAGGACAGAAACTCTTTTCAGAGCTCTGCAAGTGATGCTGCTGTAGCTCTCTCTGTGTGAGAACTGTGGCTTAGGCCAGTGATCCTCAAAGATTCTGCCTGTGGATTTATCCACATTCCAATTTAATCCAAACTCTGATAGCCTTGGCCTACATGAAAGAGGGTCAACTGCTGTTCTGCAAGGCAGGGCTGGGACGGGGGCTGGCCAGGGCTAGAGAGGGCAAACAGGGCCTTGGGGAGGAGCCCCATTAAATGGATCAAGTCACCACACATTCTGGGTAGAATGAGAGCTTGCACATGGTCACAAGGACCATTAGAAAGATTCCTGTCTAATGGGCCAAAGCTGTTCTAGGGATTATCAGCCTCACCTGTCCCCACATCCTGGGAGGCTGGCCCGAGTCAGCTCCCGGGATGTGGGCCCTGTCACAGACGCCTCTCATCCTGGGCTCCGGCCCTGACATCACCCCAGTGGTTGGGTTCCTGGTGCCCTTCTCTGGGTTTAGTAATTCTACAAGCCACCCGTAATGTTTTTAAATAGCTCTGACAAGATAGGTGGCATCTTAAGGACAGAGGTTTCATTTAAGAGGATCAAATTTCACAATGCAGAAACTGTCTTTGGCCCATAAATTAAATGCCTCAGTGATTGTTTTCTCACAGGAGCACACTAGGTTTACCAAGCCTTATGGTAGTAACTCTTTTTTTTTTTGGTACCGGGGATCGAACTCAGGTCCTTGTGCTTGTGAGGCAGGCAGTGGAACCACTGCACTAAATCCCCAGCCCATATGGCAGTAACTCTTAAGCCTTACAGCAAACCAGTTGTGAGAAGTTGTGGCAACGTTTTCAGGAACACAGGGTTTGGAATACCCAGCAGCAAAAACTGAAATGTGTCTCAGGCAATTTTGTTCCATGACTGTGAAGCCATGGCAGTGGGGCTCCAGTCTCCAGGCTGTGCTACCATAACCAAAGCCACCAGAACATTTTCCTGTACCTATTTCAAGGTTGATCTGGAAATAAGCTCATTTCAAAGAGGAAAGGCTCTCACTAACCTAAGCGGGGATTTGTATCCATGTTTCAATATGTGAGTGACACAGTACTCTATGGTGGGATTTGTTGTAACTGAACACACATTGCAGAGGGGGCTTCTTCAGGGTCAAGAGGGGAATGCACACCTGACTGGGCCCCGATAACTTACCCCATCCTTGAAGGCGGCAAACCTCAGCAGTGAAGAAATACTGCTCTGCAACAGCTGCAATAACAGAGAAGGGAGGATGGGTCAAACCTCAGTGCAGTAAGTGCTCCTGCTAAAATAACTCCCATCCTCAAAGTCAACAGGCTAAATCTAAACTTCCTATCTCCTCATCAGGGCTTCAGTCTTGGAGTCTTAAATAAAAGGACAGTGTGTTCAAATAGGGCCTCCCTCCTTTCCTAGTGGTGCTCCTAGGAGCTCTGGTCCAGTGGCAAGTCCCACACAGGGAAGACCACACGTGTCCTGGCTCCTACCTTGACCTTCACGCTGCAATGGGGCCTTGCAGGGCAGTCCAGAAAGATCTGCAGATGCCTCTTGAGAATGGGAGACGCGACCACCCGGGAACAGTCCCCACAGGAGAAGGCGCCTCTGGTATGTGGAGAAGCAACAGGGAACACTCATCAGAAGAGATCTGGTGCAGGCAGATACTTCTCTAAACATGTGTGTTTGCTGAGTGAGAAAGGAGGGTTTTGCTCAGAACCAAATTCCTGAGATCAGCCAGGAACAGGGCCTGTACTGAGGGATGAATGCTGGCTTAGGCAACAGAGCCAGGATGCTGTTCTGGGGACCCTGGGAAGTCAGAGAAGTAGGTATCATTAACATGTTAGGTGGAGCAAGCCTCTCAGGAAGTGAAGCAAGGCCCTCTGGGAGGTTGAGAGCCATGATTAGCCAGCAGGTCTTTGATCCCATACTGTTTCCCATTCACTGTGACGTCTTCTACACAATTCAAAGACTTGAGTATACACAAGACCACTAACCCAAAAGGTATCAAGGGGACATTTGTTCCTTGCTTCTGAAGAAGCAGACAAGTGAGCTGGATGTGGCGGTGCATACTTGTAATCCCAGTTCATCAGGGGGCTGAGGTAGGATCAATGGGCAACTTAGTGACTTAGCAAAATCCTGTCTCAAAATAAAAAATAAAGGGGGGGGGTAAGGATGTAGCTCAGTGGTTCTGCCGCCTGCCTCACAAGGGCAAAGGCCTGAGTTCCATGCCTGGTACCAAAAAAAAAGGGGAGGGGGGACTTGGAGATGTAGCTCAGTGTGAAGGCCCTGCTTCAATTCCCAGTTCTGAAGGGGGGGGGGCAGGTAAGCAATGAGTATGCTCTTTTTTTTTGGTACCAGGGCTCAAACTCAGGACCTTGCACTTACGAGGTAGGTGGTGGAACCACTGAGCTAAATCCCCGGCCTGAGCATGCTCTTTTGTCTGTCACAAGACAAAGTCCACTTGGGAGGTCAGGGAGCTAATTCCAAAGGAACAAAATGCATGGACACCCAGCCCCGACTGTGACCTGGGGGGAAGGGGCATTGGCAGAAAAGCTGGGCAGGGAAGGGACAGGTGGTCAGTAGCTTTTCCCTGGTCTTTGGAAAAGTCTGCACCACAGCAAAGGAAACACTGTGCAGGCACCAGGTGTGTCTCACTTACTCACATGCCCTGTTTTTCTTTTTTCTCTGACTGATAATAAAGGAGCTGAGGGCAAAAACCCAGGAGTTGCAAAAACAGCACAACTCCTTGTTAGAAAACCCACCGGCACCATGGCTTCTTCCTGCAATTCAGCTAGGGCTGGCTCTTGGGGAAGCCCCCAAAGGTGACAGGGCTGTGGGACCCCGGGGGTGGGTTGCTATCATGCCCGCCAGATCCCCAGAGCTTTGGGCCAGCCTTACCTGTGTTCTGGCCTTTGTTCCAGTCGCCCGTTGCTGCACTGGTCACATACAGGCCAGGAGAAAGCAGTACTCTCGTCCACACCGACCACAGTGCCTAGGCCCAAGGGAGAGGAAAGCCAGACGCTCAGAGGAGGGTTCTGCCCTGAGTGCTCATATGACATAAGGGGCCTTAGATTTTTTTCCCCTCATTTGTGAGTTTACCTAAATGTTCCTGAGCTTTTTATAATTTCCATTTATTGCATGTATGAAATCATGACAATGAAAACTTTTAAAACTTGTCTACAGAATCATTAGCTAGCCAAGGATATTTTGTTTTTTTGTTTTTGTTTTATGAGACAAGGTTTTGCTGTGTATCCCAGGCTGGCCTCAGATTGGAAATTCTCCTGCCTTAGCCTTCCAAATGCAGGCAAGGACTACCATTCCCAGCTCAGATTGGTTTTTAAGGTAATAAATTTTATTTAGGGAAGAATGATGGAATGTAAATGTAGATAAATGAAAACCAAGGAGATTTTAGATTTCTTTTTTTCTTTTTTTTGGTACCAGGGATCGAACTCCAGTCCTTGAGGTTGTGAGGCAGGCAGCAGAACTACTGAGCTAAATCCCCGGCTAGATTTCTTTTTAAAGAAGATACAATATCTGACAGATTTAATAGATTGAGAATCAAAATATGAAAAAGCTACATATATCTTATTCTTTACTTCTTGTACCTGTGATGAATTTTGGAGTATACCAATTATTTGCTATAGTGTAGTCCCCTAGGTAAGCATTTATCTGAATTTAAACTGAGTGTGGTGGTGGATGCCTATAATCTCAGAAACTTGGGAGGCTGAGGCAGGAGGATGGCAAGTTCGAGGCCAGTCTGGGCCACTCAGTGAGATCCTTTCCCAAAAATAAAATATAAAAGGGCTGGGGATGTATCTCAGTGGTAGACTGCTCCAGGGTTTGCTCTCCAGTACTATAAAAAAAATCGTCAATGACATGTTTGGTAATAGCATATGCAGATTTTCATGACCATATTCAGAATGCCTCAGATTGCTAGCGGGTACAATGTCTTGGTATGGCAAGATAAATTATTTACAAAGTTTTAAAACTTTTTTGTTCCTTAAAGATCAGTGGAACAGTTGTATTTGGACCTCAAGTAAGCAGAGTGAACATCAGCAACCTGTATCTGATCTTTTTTTGGCTGTACATTTTTTTTTTTGGTGGTACTGAGGATTGAATCCAGGGACTTATGCATACTGTGTAAGCACTCTACCACTGAGATATATCCTCGGGCCCCCACTCCTTGGGGGACTGGGGATTGAACCCAAGGCCTTTGCACTGAGCTACATTCCCAAGCCTTTTTTAAATATTTTGAGATAGGGTCTCTAAATTACCCAGGTGGAATTTAAACCTTTGATCCCACCACCTCAGCCTCCCAGAGTCCTGGGATTATAAATGTGTGTTACTACATCTAGCTTTATTCCTATTCTTGAAACAAAAACTTTATTCCCTGCTAGAACAAGCACTAAGAAAAAATTTACCTGTAAAGGATAAAACAGAATTATGAGAACTAGAAAGCTTGGTTTACTAAAATGTATTCATGCAACGCAGACTTCAGTGATTTCTTAAAGTTTAGAATAATAGGTCTTGATTTTGAAAAGGCTGCCCTGGCTAATGACACTGTCCTTACAAATCTAATCAAAACTGAGGGTAAAAGGGAAAAAACGGAAAGTCAATGAAGTCTTACAATGTAGCCAGAAAGGAGTGTCAGCTAATTCGTAAGAGGCAGATGCAAAAGGAGGCTCAAGGGGCAGAAAGGAGCAGCTGTGTCCCTAAACACTATGTCTCGCCCAGGCCTACACACCCAGCACCACGCTGGTTCATAACAGTGCTTGGAAAACAACTGCTAAATAAATTATAAAAATAAGCTGCTACTGATTAAAGTTCCTTTTTACCCTGGTTATTTGTGGGTGTTAATAGCATTTACATTTATATGGAATTAAGTAATTTCCTTTGAATTAGAGAATAAGGCAAGAGTTGAAGAAATATGGGGTCTACAAATCATTGGAAATCATTTAGGGCAAACTTAAATGAATTTCAAGGGATGGCTGGGAAGTGTACTATTAATCAGTTAGTGCCGAGAACACTCACTTAAATGAACATCAGAAAGAAAAAAAAATTGTTGCCAGGTGATCCTACCCTCATTGGCCTACCTGTCAACTGCTTGTTGGTTTTTTTTTGTTTTTTTTTGAGACAGGGTCTTGCCATGTAGTTCAGGCTGGCCTTGAACTCTCGGCAACCCTCCTGCTTCAGCCTCCTGAGTGAGGGGATTACAGGTACAGGCCACCACGTCCAGCTCTGCCAGCTGCTTCTAAAAGCCTTTGTTCTGCTTGTCTTACAGACAGAAATCTCTCAGAATTAACCCTGGCCCCCTCAATCTGCTGATGGGAAGAAACTGGGGCTCAGTTTTTTTCTTCCATCTAGAGGCTGAAACCTGGTTGGAGGGCAGCACTTTGCCACTCGGTCCCAGAGACATGTGTCGCAAGTGTGTGCTTGCTGCATCCACCCCCACAGTAGTACATAAGGTGTCCAGCCACGGGTGAGGGGTGGATTAAGACATGTGAGCTGTGTGAGGGAGAGAAAAATCAACACAGCAAAATGCCGTAGAGAATAACCCAGAAAGAAATGTGCACACTCTGGGAACTGACAGGTACAGTGCAGATAACAAGGCAGGTGTCCTCAGCCAGGAGAACTCTACTCTCATAGAAGCTCCACTTCCCATGAGTGCTGCACACCTTCCCGCTTGCTCTGTACTCAGAATGAGTGAGGGCCTGTTTGAGCCCAGCTCACCATTCAGCCATCTGAGACCCACAGGCTCAGCTGACTGAGCAGCACCTGAGAGGTGTGCTATCCCCAACACTCACCTCCTATAGGAGTAAAGGCACACCTTTGGAGCCATGCTGGGGACAAGTCATCACTGAGACCTTCTGGGATAAAGAGGGAAGACTGGGCAAGGATGGGAGGCTGAGGAGACACCTGTCACTGTCATAGAGCAGTGTGGATTCCAGCTTGTCCTGTGGATTCCCGTATGAGTCCAGTGTGTAGGACGGACACCTCGATGGAGCTGGTCACCCCCAGGGCTGCATTCAAGGCAGGTTTTCAACTAATCAATGCTACTTTGCAGCTAGGGCTTTGCTTTCTCTTTATGCCCATCGACTGGTTCTTATGGTTCTTATCCCGCAGCACTAAGTCCTGCTCTGTGATAGTCTGTTTATACAACCCACATATCCACCCACAAACCTGCAGGGCAGTTTCAGAGCAAGCCTGGAAGCAAAAGAGCCCTGCAGGGAGTGCTACATAAAAATGGCAAGATGGGAGACAAATCTTGGATCTACCTGAAAAAAGGAAGAACATTAGGGAAAGAATATGTGAAAGTAAATAAAATCTTTTATATTTCTGCTGGGCAAGGTGGCACACACATGACTGTAATCTCAAGTTACCTGGGAGGCTGAGGAAAGAGGAACACTTGAGCCCAGAAGTTCAAGAGAAGCCTGGACAACATAAACAGATGCATCTCTTTAAAAAAACCCCAACCAACCAACCAAACAAAAACTTTTGTATTTCCTAGCCTAAATTGATCAATAAGCTATTATTGATCTAATAGCTTGCTTATATAACAACAATAATGTATTAACCAATTTACCTTGTAGGTAAGTGAAGTGAATGACAGCAATGTCATAAGGGATAGGAGAAGGAACCAGGAACACTCTTATAAGGTGTCTGCATTACCTGAGAAGCAAGACAGTGAGTGCTATTTGGAAGTAGACTTCATTAGTTGTAAATACATATTGCGAACTCTAGGACAACCATGAGGAAAAATTTAAAAATAAGTACATTTGATACACTTAGAAAATGGAACCATATAGAAACGCTCAATTAAAAAGAAAAAAAGGAAAAGAAATAAAAAGAAAAAGGCATGATGGTGCATGCCTGTAGTCCTGGGAGGCAGAGGCAGAAGGTTGGCAAGTTTGAGTCTAACCTGGGCAACTTAGTAACTTAGCAAGAACTTGTCTCAAAAAGTAAAATGGGCTACAGATGTAGGACAGCGCAAAGACCCTGGGTTCAATCCCTAGTACTGCAAAAATAAAAACTAAACAACCACTGAGTTCAATTCACTGTGAAGACAATTATCCTTAACATGTATGTGCTTAACAACAGCACATCCAAATACATGAGGCAAAGTGTCGGAACTCTGAGAAGAGAAAAACAAATTCACTATGATAGCTGGTTGGAGATTTCTATACCCCTCTTTCAGTAATCGACATATCTAGCAGGCAGAAAATTGGTAAGAGTAGAGCTGAACTGACAGCACCATCAATCAATAGAATTTAATTGACATTATTGAGTTCTCCATTCAACAACAACAAAATGTACATTCCTCTCATTATTTATTTATTTAGAGGCAGGATCTTACTGTGTAGCCCAGACTAGCCTCAAACTTGTGCTCCTTCTGTCTTAGCCCCCTCAACACTTGAATTATAGGCATGAACCACATGCCTGGCTGGAATGCACATTTTTCTCAAGTCACGCAGAACACTCACCAAGAAAGACCACATCCTCAGCCACAAAACACACCTTTAACAAATTTGAAAGTATGCTCTCAGACCACAGAGAAATTAAAACTAGAAATCAATAATAGAAAGATAGCTGGAAAGCACTCAAATATTTGAAGAGATCTCAAGAGAAATTGAAAAATATTTTGAACCAAATGAAAATAAAAACATCAAAATTTGTATAATATGCAGCAAAAGCAGTACTTAGGGGAAACTTACAGCACTAAATGCATATGTTAGAAATGCAGATCTAAAATAAATAATCTAAGTTTTCATTTTTGGAAACAAGGAAAAGGGTAAATTTAAATCAAGTACTGAGAATAAAAGCAATAGCAAAAATTACAGCAGGAATCAAAGAAATGGGAAACAAAATTAATAAAGAAAATAAAAAAATCAAGAAACCCAATATCTTGTCCTTTGAAAAACATTAATAAAAACTAATAAACTTCAACTAGGTTAAGCAAGACTAAAAAAGAAGATAAATTAGTATTAGCAGAAATGAAAGAAGGGCCATTATTACTGATTCCACTAATAAATCTAATTTAACTATCTAAAATAATAGCAAATCTAATCCAACTATATAAAAATGATTACATACCACCAATTGGGATTTATTCCAACTATACAAAACCAGTTAAACCATTCAAAAATCAATTAATATAATTTACCATATTAATATATAATTTTTAGTAAAACTATATTAGATCGATAGCTGTCAAAAAGGCAATTTGACAAAATCCAAAACTCGATTATGATAAAAACCCTCAGCAAGCTAGGCATAAGAAGAGCTTCTTCACCTTGGTATAGATAATCTACAAAAAATCTATAGTTGGGGGCCCAGGATTTAGCTCAGTGGTTCCGCTACCTGCCTCACAAGTGCAAGGTCCAGAGTTTGATCCCCGGTACAAAAAAAAAAATCTCTAGTTTAAACAAAGCTAGCTGATTAATACCTGAGGAGTCCCAAGACAATAGCTGAGGGCAGAGCAGTAAATCAAAATCAGAACACAGCTAGGGTTGTAGCTCAGTGGTAGAGCACTTGCCTAGTATGCATGAGCCCCTGGGTTCAATGCCCAGGATGGAGGAGAGGGGGAATAAGGGTAGAATTTTCAAGAGAAACATTACAGGAAAGAATAACTCAATGCTTTTATATGATTGTCAAGGATTTAGAAAAAAATTAGTTGCAGTTCAGGCAATGCAAAGAAAATGAAGGTCAACATAAAACTTTATGAAAAAATGAAAAAGATAATACCACAAATGAAATAGAACTGTGGTATAGTATTTTCCTGTGCAGTGAAAAATATTTATATAATTATAATTTACTGATTTTCATCTTTAAGAATCAACTTGTAGACAAAGTGTGCAAGGCTTAATTATGGTTATGAAACAAAATGCTATTAAACTTAATACAGAGTACAGAAGCAAAGGTAATTAAGTAGAAAAGAAGAGTGAAGTAAAAAGTACAGGAGAGTTACTATTTTTGTTTCTTTCTAAGTGATACTATCTTTAGCAGATGGAACAACAATAAACAAAACTACAATTAACATCATATTTAAGGTGAGAAAGTACATGGGATTCACTTAAGATCAGCAAGGAAGTCCTCTTCATCACTGCTATTCTACATGGTACTGGAAGTCCTAGCTAGTACAATAAGAAAAGAAAAGGAAATAAAAGGTATATTTAGCATGCAAAGATTTGGGTTCAATCCTCAGCATTTATGCATGCATAATAAATAAATAAATTTTTAAAATGGTATATATATTGAATAAGAAGAAATAAAACTGTCTTTGTTCATGGATGACATACTTTTCTTTCCTTTTTTGGGTTTTTTTTTTCTTTTTGGTACTGGGGATCGAACGTGTTTGCGCTTGTGCAGCAGGCGGCGAAACCACTGAGCTAGATCCCCAGCCCCTTTTCTTTCTTTTTTTTTT